ACAGCTCCATTGAATGGGAGCCCGTGCATTTTGACAAGCTTTAAACAGATTGTACATAGTATTTAAAAAAAAAAAAAAAAAGAAGAAATAAAATAATACTTGTAAGACCTCTTACACAGAATGTGCTGTTGTTATTCCCTGGGTGGTACGGGTCTGGTGGGGATCAGAATCTGCTCCTTGCTCTCCAGGAGGCACAAGAGCACCAGCCATCGCGTATACCTGTGTATAAACAGCTGAAGGGATGGGGCTCAAGACGGAGACTTGGATTTCCATGACCATTGCCAGAAGCAATAGGGGCAACACATAAATTAGAAAGAACAGGGCATCGGAGTCAGCGTAGACAAGTCTGCACACTGTAAATGTTTTAATTTGGATGCAAACAATGAGTAACGGTACTCTTCCTGGGGTAACTCACTTGCCATCTCGGCACTGAAGCAAGTTCAGGCTGTATGCAAGGCTAAACTAGTCCCAGGCTTCGGAATCTGGGTCTCCTCTTCCTTTTTCCTCCACTTCTGGGGAGGCTGGTGTCCTAGCATGATTTTTGGCTTGGTCCTTGCTTTGAAAAGCACTCACTAAATGTGGCTTTAACATGACCAATGCTCTTGAAGGAACTTCTGAAACATCGTGAGAAATAACAATGCCTCAAACAGATTTTTTTTTTTCTTAAGTGAAACAAATTTTTATTTAACACCCAATTTGTCTTACAGTACTGCTGCATACAATACATTGTATAAAAAGCCAACCTGCCAACACAAACATGTGTTGCCTTCTTGGTAAAGTGACAAAGCTATAGCAAAAAAGACAAAATAGCCTATTTTTCTGGAAACAAATTGGAATATTTCTTTTTGTTTTAGTCCAGATAACAACTGCGATCGCAATCAAGAACCTTGTATGGTACAACTGGATGAGAAACTTCTAATAAAATCAACACACAGCTATTTCTTAGTCACTGTGGTAGCAAACTTTTCTAAAAGGACATTATTATCTAGCCATTAGTGATGAACAAGTGGCTTGTTTTAGGAACGGACGGAAACACAGAGTGCTGTTTCTGAATCACATGGCAGCGACCATTTCCACGTCCCGGGAAATGCTACCGGTTGAATTACAAGCAGTTCTCCCCCACGGTGGAACGGGCTCGTATTTTCATTACTATCAGTTGAGCTATTCCCTCACCTCGTGTGTTCAAGCCCTGAACTCGGCGCCCACAGAGGTCAAGCAGCCGGCTCCTCGTGGTGGTCAGGGCTGCCACCGTTCACCTGGAGCGCAGGGAACGGCCACAGGCTCCCCGAGCGGCACGCTCTGTGTTGCAAGACCGAGGGAATGTCGCAGCTCTGCTGGCCATCCCCCTGGGCTAACGATTACGTTTGACAAAAGGCATCTTACGTGCATAGCAACAATAATAATGGCCCAGCCACTAGAAAAGCGTACGCAACCAGCCACTGCTTCAGGGTAAATAACCATGGCATAGCTGCCAAGTCACACTGGTGACACCGCAGCAGGTAGTGCAATTTTAAAACTGTATAAACAGCATCACTAGTTTTAGCAATCTATATCCTACCTACAACTGTCTATTTTGTACTGAAGGATGCACATTTATTTATTTCCTATGACTGAACCAAAAAAATAGAGAGACAGATAACTTCATGAAAACTGTTACAGAAAAAAAATAACATAGAGAAGTGAAATGACACATCAGTACTCACTTAACCGCGCTGCTTCCTGTTGGTGAATGAACTGTTCAAAGTTCAAAAACACTTCTAAAAACTTCCAAGTTACAATTTGAAAGGAAAGTCCCCCCCTTCGGAAGTAGCTGAGTAATTCTGGGTCAGACTCTCTGCAACCGCCAGACTCCTTGCTAGCACTTCTGCTTAATTCCCAGCTGCATGTGGCAGCTGACCTCCTGCAACAGGGATGTGCGCACCCGCAGCGTCCTCATGCGATGTGATATGAATCTGGGTTCATCTTTGCATCACCAAGAACTTCAGACGGCCAAAAACCTGTCCCTGACTATGCAGGGCTTTAAAGTCAAGGCATCACCCTGCGGGACGGAAGAGTGGGAAAGAGCTTCTATTGCTCTAGCTCCCCCAATCCCAACTAAGCCTGCACGTATTTGTTAGCCAGCCTACCTCCACAACAGGAAAGGGAAGGAAAGGAGCTAGACTCTAACTCCAGAGTGACTCTGTCGCAAGCAAAGCACAAGTGTCCCTCAGTGTTATGGCACACCGTGTGTGCCCAGCAAACACACCTCTGGGTCACGCTCCTTGGAAACAGTGGGCATTTGCTACATCTAGATCTCCCCAAAGGATCAGCCCGTGACCCCCAGTCTCCAAAAGGAAGAACCTGCCGGTTGGGCAGCTGCCCGAGTGCTGCCAGCCTGCTGGAAGCGACCTTGCTCCACCCTCTGTCCTGCTGAGGCTGGACGCCTGGCCGCTCTGACTAGTCTTGCTGGATCAACCTGCAGGTGTATGACAGGAATAGATTTAAAGACTTTACCCTTTTCGGGAAAAAAGATAAACTAAACAGAAAATCCATGCGGTTAATAAAAGTTAGCGTTCCCCTACATATCCTAACTTCTCACCTTAAATCTATTTTTTATATGTGTGTGTGTATATATATATGCTGGTAATCTCTCTTTATACATAGATATGATAGCTGACAAGAGCTACTACGTAATTGGTAATGGCTCTACAGTCTCTTGGATTGACACTAATAGAAAATGGTATTTTAAAAAGGTGCTCAGTTTTGCATAACCAAACCAAGTGATGTCACAAGGCTATTGTATTTTGCAGGTTCCTTCAGTACAGTCTTCTGTACTTAGATCTTAACATCTTGGCTCTCAACCAAAAAATGTCATTGAGTTTTAAGACTTTCATCTCTCTGTGCTACCTTGCTTAGCAAATAGTTCATAGCTTTGACTACTTCTTGAAATTAACAATATCCATCATAAACCTACAAAAGCTTTTTGGATGGGCAGCTGCATCTGTTTTCATGTGGCTCCATTAATTTCGGCACGGCTATTTGCAGAAGAATTACTCACTGAGCAAACCTTATCTGAGTACGTCCTGGACTAGAACAACAATATCGTCTGCTTTGTATTTCTAAAACAACATTAGGAAAACAGTGAGTAGATAAATTTTAAAAGTAACACAGTGTTGCCCTACTTTGCCTCAGAAACATATCTATATGAATGGATAAATTAGTTTTTATATTTTACGCATAAAAATACAAATCAGTATTATATTGTATCAAGTGTAATTGCTTTGTGAAGGCTTCTGAAAAAAGCTTCCTCATTTCTCACATATACGATATGGTTTTTGGAGTTACTGTTCATTCAGTAAAACTTTATTTTACATTAATACCTGAGAGTACGGGGGAGAGTAGAAGAAATAATTCATAAATTCATTGCTCCCGATCAAAACTGTATTCTTCAGAAGCAGCATGGGAACTTTAATACCAATTGCGATGATGGTATTTCACCATGTGCTTGTAACACAAGTCAGAATTTCATTTTATTCTTCATTTGTATTAGTATTGCAAGAAAAGCCTCGGTGAATGATACCATACCCGTTCTGCTTCTTTACAAAAAACATGCACAGTATAAAAATAATGCTGCTCTGCAGAGAAAGATTGTCATACAGGCTTTAGAAACAGCCATTTTTAACTAGTTTAGCAGAGTCTCAGATTACTTTGTTGTTGTTGTTGTTAAAATACAAGCTCTTCCCCACTTTCTCTAAACCCATTCTAGCACCAGCTACCAAAGGTTCAAGGTCAACATTTATGAGCATTAACAGTGGCAGAACTTGCTTCCACAGGATCTTTACTGTATAATTTTTTATATATTAAAAATTTCAAGTCAGATTCCAGAGGATTTTCTTGTTGCCATGAATCCTGGCAGATAGAAAATATTACAGCAGCAATAATCCAGAGAGCTATAGAAAAGAAAGAATAATTACTAGGTTGAGGTGTGGACTCAGAGTAGGCAAAGGAGCAACTGCAATCTGTCCCTAGCAGTTCAATAGTCAGCATTCAGCTAACTACGAAGCAGCTAAAGATGGTCTGTGCTTGGGCTTTCCAAACACAAGCAAAACTATACATTTCATCAACATGCTCCTAAGAAGCCAACAATGGTTCCTCCTGCAAGATGAATGACAACCGCCACATGGTCAGACAGATTTAGCCACTGCTTTCCCTTGATTTCAACAATCTATACTAGCTTTTGCACCCATGTGCAGCCTGGATGACCAAACAAGCTTCCATCCTTTTCACCTGTATTGTAGGAGGATTGGTATGAAAATGGGAAAAAGAACTCATGTATAGGCTGAGCTAGAAAAGCAGGAAACCAGTTGTTGTTGCAAAAACTGAGACCTAGGCTGGGAGAATGCAGTCTGCAAACTGCCGATGAGGGGCTAGAATCTGCAAGAGTCCAGGACCATCAGCAACACCAAAGCAGAGGAATTGAGAGCAGGGCAACTTTCTTTTTCTTCTCTAACCTCATGCTCTTGTGCCTACCATAGCCTCTATTCTTAGTCTTCGCCCTGCTTTGATCCCAGTCAACATGCAAGTTTGGAAATAACTAATTAAACTAACCTGGAAGACAACTTCTAAGCTGTCGATAGTCCTTTTAAGTGAAAATGGCTGGCAGTCATTCCTTCTATCACAGTAATAGAAGTGAACCCGGAAAGCACGCACTGTAACAGTTGTCATTCAGATAGGTTTACAATAGGTCACATCCAGTATTTCCAAGCAATGTTGCATATTTCAATAACATGGTAAAGACAGTTTATTATTCAGTCCTTTTTTTGGAGTGAAACTTATGAACAATGCAAGAAAGTGATTGTGCTTCAAACTATTTTTATTTACATTACATACCAGTAATCTGATATTTAAAGCTAACTCTTCGAACTCCATTCTCTATGTAAACACCAGACTCAATTTCCATAGTAACAATCTTCATTTGTATGCGCTTTATGTGGTTAATTCAGAGTCAAAGGTAAAGAAAATTACACTCTGGTTCTTGCTTTAAGTTGTAAATGTTTAGCGCACTCTATTTTAACTTTTATGTCATGAGGTTTCTCAAAAAATCTCACAAAGGCCGGCTCATTTAATAAGGACGCCAGAATCTGTTCAAAGGCAAAAGACCACTCATGGTTCCCTCTCAAACTCTGTGCTTTACTGCCTTCAGTCTGCTCAAAGCTACTTTCCTCCTGCCCTTTTCTGGGGATTTCAGCAGGCACCTCCGTAACGGTAACTGGACTTTTGACCGGTGATGTGGGACTCTGCAGTCTT